AGGTCATGATCCTGGAGTCCCGGGATCGAGTCCCGCATCGGACTCCCTGCTCAGCGGGGAGTCTGCTTCTCCCTCTGATCCTCCCCCTCTCATGCCCTCTGTCTCCCATTCTCTCTCTCAGATAAATAAATAAAAAAAAAATCTTTAAAAAAAAAAAAAGAAAGTGAATCTTACATAGAAGCGATGGATGATACCAACCTTTTATAGAAAATATTGTTTTAAAAGTAATTATTAATTATTTATATATTCAGACCAAAATATAGCTTTAAAAATCGTTAATGAGCTGAATAATCAGAGCAAAAGAGAAACAAATTACATATGCTGACAATTCCTGAGTTGCTTGAGTATGTGCCCTTAAGCTCCACATCTGAGAATTGAATTTGCACATCTGTTAATTTCCATGTATAAGTGTGTCTGGCCACTGGTATGAGCTTCATCTTTGATGTTATCACCTAGCTCTTTCTTAATGTCTTTGTTAGCTTCTACATCAGCTGCATACTTTCTAAAAGTTATTTATTTAAAAAACATTAACACAAAATTAAGAAAAAAAGAAAAGAAAGCAGCCAAGGATAGGGACATCATTCCCTACCAGCACCTGTGTATTGTTAAGTGATTAAAATTGTTAAGTGAAAAAAGCAGGTTGCTGAACTGTGTGTATAGTATGTTCCCACTTAATGTACAAAAGGGTGTGTTTGCCTGTCTCTGTGTGTGTGTGTGTGTGTGTGTGTGTAAGTAAATATATATACATATATTTGTATGTGAATAGACTTGGTTTGAAAAAATACAGAAGAAACTTTATGGTGGTTGTCATGAGCAGAGGAGTACAGGAATGGGGGCTAGGATGGGAAGGAGACCTCCTTTTTATTATATACTGTTTGAAATTTTAAATAATGTACATGTGTTATTTTCACAATTAAAATCTTTTTAATATGCATACATCAACACTGATTAAAATTTTGACTGAGCTCACTCCATGGTGTTGTTTGATGAAGTGAAAGTCTATGCCTATTATGAATTCAGGGTGATGAATCTGAGGATATGGTATTAAACTTAATATTGAATTCACAAAGACTTTTCCTATCAAACACACATCTTTTTATTAAAATAATGAATTACAACTATAATTTAGCACCGTGTTTCTTCTATATGCCATATTTTTAAAAGACTGAAGATAAATTGTGATTGCAGGTGAATGAAAGTGATTTTCCGAACAGTCACTCCATTTTATCACATATTCAGAGCACTTATATACAAACACCTGAATCTGGGATTTCAAATGTATTGCAACAAATACCACTACTTCCTGTTCTTGCTCAATAGCAGACATTGTTAATGGATCACCACACTTTTTCTGAGTGAACCTAGACTTGGCCTCAGAGTCACTCTTAAGCATGCATTCCGGAAGGTACTGTGAATCAATCTGGGTTTCCACATGAGACCTATTTTCTACTGCATACCTATTTACTATTATTATTTTTTACTCATAAGTCATAGATAAAATACAACTGAATTATTTTTAAATTGTTACACCAAAAACAGTGACATAAGGACAAAAATGGTTTTGTTATATAAGGTAATAATATTGGGCATGCATGTCACCTTTTACATTTTCACAGCACATTCACTACATTACCTCATTTGTTCTTCAGAATAAACATATGGGTCAATAAGCAAGACTTTTCTAGTGGTCAATTCTGCTCAATAAATATTTCACCTGGATACTAGTCTAGCATAATGATGGACCCTCAACAAACAAGTGATTAAGTGCCATCTTTGCAAATACTTCGCATTCAAGTTCCTGCCTTCCTGATTTCCTCATTTCAGAGAATTAACAGATGTAAGTATTGAGAATGAAATTATGTATGTGTGCATTCATGTGTGCACACATGCATTGAAAAATCAACTCATGGATGTTAGAACCTCGTTTCCAAGTAACTTATTTACTCTTAGAGAAGGAAAGAGCAATGTGAAAGCCATTTTCCATCAGTAACTTATAACCACGTGGAAGTTTGGTACTATGCACTAAATGAATCCTCACTGTCCAGAGCTGTGGAAAATCTGCACTTTTTAGGAGGATAAAACAGTTGCATGTTATGGCTATGTTAAATTCCCCACATCTCTTGGAGAACCCATAATAGTACCATACTTGGGACAGTATGCCTGAGTAGTAGAAATGAATGCTGAAAGTCATCCTGTAGAGTAAGAAAGGAATTAAAAGTTAGCATCTATAAATGAGGAAGTGATGTCTAAAAGATTGGAGGCAAAGGATGAAAGAAAATAGACATACAGAAGTGAGTCTAAATCAATGATAAAATGTATCAAAATTTCCTGGAGGGGTTGTTAAAACACAGACTTTAGAAATGGGCCCCACCCACAGAGTTTCTGATTCAGTAGGTTGGGGGTGGGGGCGGGTGGCTGAGATTTTGCATTTTTAATAACTCGCCAGGAAACACTGGTGCCGCTGGTCTGGGGACCACACTTTGAGAAACTGATTTAAATCATTGTTGAAGTGAATTTATTTATTATTATTATTATTTTTTAAGATTTTATTTATTTGTGAGAGAGACAATGAGAGACAGCATGAGAGGGAGGAGGGTCAGAGGGAGAAGCAGACTCCCTGCTGAGCAGGGAGCCTGATGTGGGACTCGGTCCCAGGACTCCAGGATCATGACCTGAGCCGAAGGCAGTTGCTTAACCAACTGAGCCACCCAGGTGCCCTGTTGAAGTGAATTTAAAAAGTATTTTAAAATGTTTCTGAGATATTTCTTTAATATGAAGATAATGTCTCTATACACAAATACACATGTTAGAAAATGCATAATATCACCATCATTATGTGGACAGTGATTTTTTCAGGATTGTCAGTTTAAGAGTAAGTTTTATGTTTTTCTAAATAATTTTTCTATTTTCCTGAATTTATTTTGTTGTAATCAATTTTCATTACTGGGGTATGGCCAAGTAGGGTCCTACTAATCCTGACCCTCCCACAGAAAACAGTTATAAACTCTGGACAAAACCACATACACACACACACACACACACAACCAATGACCTGAAGGTACTGGAGAGTGAACAAAAGCAGATTATGGGAAAGAGTTGAAACTTGGAAGAAGGGAATGTAGGCAGTTAGATCACAGCTTTTAGCCTGAGGACACACTGAAGTTGGTGTGGCGGGGGCAGGGGGTGTAATTTGATAGAAAACATGCAGTCTTTTTTTTTTTTTTT